TGTGTGTGTGTTTGTAATGGTATATATATATATATATATGTGTGTGTGTGTGGGTGTGTGTGTGTATGTATATTTATAAATATATGTATGTATGGATGTACGTATGTATGTCTAAATGTCTATATCGATATGTATATGTGTTTATATCTATATCTATATCTATATCTATATCTATATCTATATCTATATTTATATTTATATCTATATCTATATCTATATCTATATCTATATCTATATCTATATCTATATCTATATCTATATCTATATCTATATCTGTCGCTGTGTCTGTGTCTGTGTCTGTGTCTGTGTCTGTGATGTTTCATAGTTAACTTCATCAATCTAACTCACTTTATTATTGTATATCGTATTCAACAGTTCCAAAGGGTGGTTACAGCGCTCCATCCAGCCTTGCCCAATTTGGTAGGTATTGAACTGTCGCCGGATGTTAAAAATGCGATGAAGGTGGTATTCTCGCGTCTTGGGGGAGAGAGCAAGGCGGCTTCAAGTGATCCAGAATTAGAGACCGGGGACGACATCAGGACGGATGTTATAATGAATAGCCAATCAGAAACCCCCTCTAGTGAATCTAAAAATAGCATAGATGACCCGGAAAGTAGTGCTGCACAACCCGTGGATAACACGTCAATTAGCACAGATAGGCATGAAGAGCAAATAGATCATCAAACAGAGACCCCTGTTGAGGTTATACTGACGCAGGATAAAAAATCGGGTGTAACACCATCGGAAGCTCATCCTGAAACGGTAATAACTGAGACAGGCCAAAAAGTGGAATCTGGAATGGAAGTAGAGGGCGATTCGGATATCAAAACGCAATCAGAGACCAGGCCACCGACAGAAGTAGAATCTGAGGGAGCAGAAGGCGTTGAAGAGGTTGAAACAGTACTGGAAGGTACGAATGAGTTGGATGAGACTACTGTCGGTAGCCTCGAAGCTGAATATGATGTAGCGCCAAGTGATGGAAGTTTGAATGAGGACACAATAAAACAAGACGATACAGGAGTCCAAGTGAATGAGCCTACGGAAAATGCACCGGGTTCAGAGGCTGAGAGGGAAGTGGGTATACACGATGTAGATGCTACCACTGGAGTTGACGGTGCGAATGCACACGCGGAAGTAAATGCTGGTAATGATAAGGATGCTGGTGTAAACCATGAACATGTTGAGGCTGGAGGTATTACTGAGGTCGGGGAGATTGCTGAGAGTAACGATACCAATACTGAGAGTGGGGAGAATGCTGAAGTTGATGACAAGGATATGGCCGCCAGTGAGTCTAATAACAGTGCTAGTGGTACGAAGGCAACCGGGGGTGGCAAGAAGAAACGGAAAAACAAGAAAAAAGGGAAAAACTAGGCTTTCTAGACGTTCAGTCGGTGACTGATGAATGAGGCTGTTTTGTGAGATAGAATAACAGAGCGTGCGCATGTCACACGCTGGATGTGTTGAAATAATAATAAATAATATCTCAATGTACGGGTATTATACTAGTCCAATTTATGTGACCTTGGCGAGGCAATTTCTGCACCACAAAACTATCCGATCTCTGCCATCTTGAAAGCGGGTCTATACTAATAACTACCTGAGAGGTGTATTAATATGTATACTAAAATAAGGCTGGTCGATAGCAAATGACAGCCTAGAGTCAATGGATTGTATTTATGTTAATAAGATGGGTAATGGACGTTCGACATAATTTTGAGTGGCTTACAGTGTGCGTTTCCAGTGTGGGCATTAAAAACGCAAACTTAAATCTGCAGCCTGTTACGACAATTCTAGGAACTCAGATCTCTATTGATTTATCCAATTGTGCTTCACATTGTGCACATGCAAAAGAAAATATCGCAACGAAAAGTCATAGATTTAAAAGAATACATCACAATGATCGCAATGATTTTATCGTCAGTATTTCTTTGCAATGCTACGAATGGTATTGTTAAACAACAGTCTTGTATCGGGTGCCTATTCGTTGACATCTTGCTGTCACGACTGGAATGTTCATGCCACTTTCAAGACTCGAGCATAAGCCTGACAAAAACATTTCTCTTTCTAAAACACTGCAACAGACGGAAACAGTCTAGATTGATACGGTGTATGTTTCTACTATTATTTTATTCGATTAACTATTAGAATCTATTTGTGACTCTCACGTTTACATAACTCGTTAAGATATTTCACAACCATATCCATAGACCAACGTAGCTCAGGATCAGGTTCGCACATATTCTCCAACAGTATTTTGATGTCTTCGTCAACTGCTGCCCACACTCCAGGTGCACCGAACACGTGCCTTTGCAAATAATTCCTAAAGCCAGAATCTTGCAGACTCGCACAACCAAAAGGTATTTGAGATGTGTACATCGAGTAAAACGTGATACCCATAGACCAGACATCAGTTTTCATGAGGTCTAGATCAACATCCCCCACATTGTACTGGCCACGACACTCTTCTATCGCAGATACAAGTTCGGGCGCCATATAAGGCAAAGTACCACTCTTGAGGGAGACCATGGGTTCAGAAACAAATTGACTCTCTCCGAAGTCCAAAATTTTAGCCTGTCCATCTTTTGTGCTTACAGATATGTTATCAGACTTTATATCTCGATGTGCAACCCCTTTGCTGTGTATGTGGGACAGACCGGCTGCCAGCTGACGAGCGAATGTCAGAAACTCTTGATGATCAAAGCCTGCCTCGCGGTCTGCAAGTATATCCACTAAGTCTCCTCCGTCAAGGCAGTCCATGACAATGCAAACTTGTTTATTTATGAAGAGTTTTTCGTAAGTGGTAACAACATTCGGGTGCTGACCCATTGCTTTGCCGATATGAAACTCTTTCTTGTTAGCGTTAATATATCTCTCGATCTCCATACGTTTCAAAGCCACGTAACATCCTAGGCGCCTGTCAAAGGCTTTCGAAACAACGGCAGTGGATCCAATTTGTAGGCGTCTCTCATTTACAAAGCGCTTCTCAGCCTTATACGAGTTTCTTTTCTGGTGGAAGTCCGCTCTTAAACAGTTGATCTTTTGTGCGGTCATAAGACCTGAAGCCTGGGCATTCACAGTTGATTGCAAGGTAGCTGTCATCGTAATGTACTGTTGTAGTGTATAATTTTTTTTTGTTGATATTTTATGATGACTAGAACATTCACATGTCCAACTTTTATACACATTGAATACCCTTTCTCGAATCTCGGATCGTATGCGAATTCATTAAATTCTTAACAATCTATTCATTTTTTTCTTCATTGGTGTTTTTTTGTTTTTTAACCCAAAAAAAAGGTACGCAAATCGGTCTCCAGACTCCAGTTCTCATAATGTGATGAAGAATTAAATCTAAAATAGCGTCCTCTCTATAGCAACAGCAGTAAATATAAAAATAATAAATTTAAAAAAAAAAGTCGAACTTCGATCCCCTATACTGTCTATACAATATACATACATTATTTAAGTTCTCTTTCCATTTCTTTTAGAGTAGAGAGGGTCATGAACTCATGATATTCAAGATAACAAAAATGCTGGTATCTGAAGTGAAACTCAGAAACTGACACAAGTCTGGAATCTGCAGATACTACTATTTACTACTAGCTGTAGACCTATTTAGTAGTAGCATGTAGTAGTAAGTAGACAGTGCAGACTACCGACACTCCGAGTCTCCGACAGGGCCGAGTCTGGACTCTTGAACTCTGGACTCTGGACTCTGGAGTGCGAAGTAGCATAAAATATCTCTGTGTTGAGCATACCGATTTACGTATTGATAAAAAAAATTATTAACGCATGTCGTATGTACAGTGTATATGCGTATATTTCATTCAGTTCATTTTTTTTACATTTCAAATTTTCATAGAGTGTTTGAGTGAGTGCAAGACTGAAGAGTCTGAACAGTGAACTCTGACCACTGCTGAGTCGCTGATGTGAGATGTTTGCAAAAGACAGTGATAAAGGCGTAAATATTTACGCAGCACCATACTAAGGTCGGATTTGCCAACTTCAGGAAATATTGGGGAACAAGATATGAAATGAGTAAAACACCTTACTCCGGTGACTAATTTCGATATTTCATCGCACGATCCATAATTTTAACAGTTATTCTGAATATTCAGGAAATTATGGGAAATGACTTTCATAATTTTTGAGCCTCGTAATTTTCTGATTTCACGATTTCGTGTGTTTTGCCATTCCCAAATTATGCCAGATTCAATCCAAAAAAAATATACAACAATATTTTGTTTTGTTGTATATTTTACCATAAGTAGAATGATGTATTCTATTTTGGGATTTACTTTATCTTTAATGCACCTTTGACATACATGCCATCCTTTTTAAAAGACCGACAATTTACACGCCAAAAAAAAAGCAAAATCTCCAAAAACCTTCATGGAATCACTACAGCCAATGGGAGGTCTCTGGTTAATTTGTACCAATCCAAATGTTCCATCACTTTTTCGGTTCCATATTAGAATATCTTGTGCATTCGTGCATTTGCCAACTGAAAGTATAAAAATACTGTGCAAATATTCTACAATATCTCAAATACAATCTCGCATGAATTTCGGAATTCTCATGAAATATAGCGCTCCAATATTTCATAGTAAATATACCAAAATATACTTGAATATTTATTAGGGCTATATTTTCTCAATATTTCTTTTAAGTTGGTAAATCAGGCCTAAATACTTCCGACAATTTACCAAGAAGAGTTGTAGAGAGGAGAGGAGAGAACTCAAGTCACAAGTAACTGACAACCGACAACTGCTGGCAAGAGTTGAAGAGTTGTGGCACTGCAGTGGCAACTGGCAAATGGCAAGTGGCAACTCATAGTCACAACTCACACAATCAGTATTTACTATTCTATATTTACAACGAACTAAGAAGTACGGACTCACAAGGAGTAAACGAGGACCCAAGTCCCAACTCCCAAGTCACTCACACAAACAACAAGAAGAAAGGCCAATAAGAGGGCAAGAAGGGCCGTCGTACCACATCAGCCACAATTCAACAAAAGACTTTCTCTCTCTCTCTCTCTCTCTCTACTATTTAAATAGTAGTAAATAAATAGTAGAGTAGAGAAAGAGGAGAACTATAAAAAAATGCAGACTATTTTTTTTAAACGCTTCTCGGCTTCATACGGGTCAAAAGCAGAAGAAGCAAATCAACCTTGAACCTACATAGCTTTACAAATTTTTATATAAAAAACGGGCATTCTTAATAAATTAAAATACTGAAATCGTTGTACTTTGTTGGAGACTTGGGGGCTAAGCCGCTAAGCTCAATGTGTTAAGAAAAAGTTATAACTTTTATTATTATGCCTCTTACAAACTTGAAAGTTGTAACTTTTATATCTCAATAGTACACTTTCATAATGATTGAGCCTTTCAGCTGTGACGCTTGCTGAAAGGCTCAATCTCTTTTGATTGCTTATTATCAATTTCGTGGCCTAAAATTTCAACTATCGGACAGCATATTGAGTGCAGTTTCCAAAATAACTTTGTAGTTGATTTGTCCTAAAAACACCGCTGACGTCGGTGGGGAACTAAAAGCTCAGAAAAGTTGAGCGGGAAATAAGTGGATTTTTTTTTAATAATCCAGTTCCGAGCAAACGGTAGGAAATGGGCTTCATCGTATCTCTCCTCTAATAGTAATAAAAACTGCACATGGGCAATAATTTTATTTCGGTCAACTTTTATTGTTTCATTGTAATTTATTATCTTCTCTACTGAGCAAAGAGTAAATAGAAATCATTATGGTTTTTACTTTTTTTTCACATTTTGTAATTCTGTACAGCAAACTTCAACGTTTCTCTCGTCCACTGCTGGTATCACGTCGTGATTCTTGTATTGGGCCTTTCTATGTTCATGTAAAAGGTCTTAAATGGGCATAAAAATCTTCATTTAATTCCTTATTTGGAATAAATAAAGTTCTGAGGGACCTAATAGCTAAAGCTTTTAGGGATAAAAGTTATAACTTTGTTTAAAAAAAAATCAAAAAGTTAACATTTTAAAAAGTTGGAGCTTATATTCTGAACCCCTAAATATAACTTGATCAGCTTAGCTTGGGGATGGTGTTGGGGGCTTGTGGCTCTAGGCTCCTAATCATGCAGTCATGTACCCAATACCCACAACGATAATTATCTATATGACCATCATGATATTAAACTTCTTTTTTTCTTTATACAATGTAAAACCATAGCCTTCTAAAATTGTCAGGCTATGGTAAATTGTAAAACGTATATTTTTTTGTTCAATTTTTAGGAGGCTACATAGGAAATTGTTCTCTCATGTTCTAGTTTTTTTTTACAGACATATTAATTTATATATTTTAAATGCGAGTCTACTTACGTCCTACGCGAGACTTTCACTGACTGAGAGACTGAGTATGCCTAATTTAGTAAATGCATATAAATGCTCTTTTTTTTTTTAAATAGTATTTAAAAATATACATCCAAACAAACAATAAATCGCCCAAGTCCCCACCGCGCGGCGCGCGCCGAGCGGATAGACCTCATACCATTCTACTTTGCAACGTTTTAAAACCATTGCGTAAGCGTAAAACGTTTAACTATTTGATGCGTTACATAGTCCCAAAATTCATATGAGGGATCATTTCTGGGTAGTATTTAACCGCCACGCCGGGGCCAGGGCCCCGCCGCCCCACCATTATTTTCTTGTCGGTTACGGATAGAAAGGCCCGCCAGACCTCTTATGGGCAATAATAGTGTCATAGTTAATAGTATGACTATGGGGTCGTTTGTGTGAAGTTGTGTGTTTACTGTGTTACTGTTGTGTTACTGTGTGTTTAATTGTATATATATCTGCAACCGATTGCTAACAAGTACACTTTCCATGACAAGTATATCTTATATAAACACGCTAGCATGACTAAGCCTCTATGCCTCTATGCTTCGAAAGAAGTGTGCATTTATTCAGTTTTCAGTACGATGTAAAGACATACAGTGTACACACAGGTCATTACTCACTAGAGACTTACAGACAGACCAGTTCTAGTAGTACACAAAGTGTCACAAACCATCGTGGTGAGCGGCCTAAAAATAACAACGGTCATCAGTTTTCAGTCGCGTTTGATTGGTTGAACGCAAGCTTTGCAGCCAGAAATTACATGTTAGGTGCACTATCTGGGTCTTATATGTGAAATAATTTGAGGTCAGAATAGTCACCCCTATGCGTTGCAACGGTTTGAAATCATTGCGTATTCGTAAACGTTAAACGTTTAGATCAATGTACTAACTTAATGAGGTCTGCCGGCGGACCAGGGCCCAGCAGTATGTAGCGAAAAGCACGAAAACTGTCTGAATGAAAATTCCAGAATATTTTTATCTCTCTCTTCTTCTCGTAGACTTGTCGTTTTTTTTTAAAACAAAGTAATAATTTTTGTTTTTTCATAACCTTCTAATAAATTATACAATATTTTTATAATAAAAAGCTATAAATACACAACAAATACTATTCTAGATTCCAAATATTCGGACAAATCCACTAGTTATCCAGGATTCCAGGAAGGCCAAGGCCCAAGCCCCAAGACTCAGCAGGCCAACAACAACTACTCTAGAGAGTAGTAGAGAGAGGAATCTGGAATAGCGATTACAGAATGCATTATGCATGCTTTAGGGCCTGGGCCCTGAGGGAAGGAAAGCTACGCCTGGTCCCTGGACTGGTCTGGACTCTGGTCAGTCTGAACCCTGGAGGACTGGGACCAGTGGTCTGCCCCAAGGGCCCTGGCCCCAGAGCCCCAGACTGGCCCAGCAGAGTAGCTAGAGCCAAAACTTCAGAAGTCTGAACTCTGAACTTCTGAAGGCATTTCTGACGTACATATTCATATAAAAATTGAGAAGAGTTAAAAATATAAATACTGTTTTTATTATATAAACAATCAGAGCCTCTTGAAATGACAAATATATAAAAATAAATACCAATGAAATAATGTAATATGATATTAAATCATCATACATAGGCGAAAAAAAACATTTACCTGCTGTTTCTTCTCATTCTCAACTCATCTCAAGTTCTCTGGCTTGTTTACCCTGCTTGTTTTGAAAAATAAAACCAAAGTATGTGAAAAAAAGAAATTGGATTGACTCTAATTTTGAAGAATACAATTTTTATGGTTGCTAGATTTGATCTATTTTTGTTTCTTCAAAACATATCTCTTTTTTGGTAATTTTGCTTCTCTTGTTTTGAGTTTATATATATATA